AAGGTAACTGCATTGTAAAATATATGCTTTGTGTAAACTCTACTAGCACTAAAGCTTTTGGAAACTGTTATGTATACATGCCCCCAACTAATTTTGGTGAAGAATGCATAAAAAAAGTTCTAACTCAGCTTCCTTATTGAGTTTTTTTGGGGGGGCCTGTTGAAGGAAAATGCTCCATTGAGTTCTATTGACGTTGCCATGGTTTTGCATTAAGGAATAAACAAAAAACCAACGAGGGCTTGTCGGGATGGGGCGGGAAACAGGCCTTTAAAAATGTTTTGGGTCAGCAATATAGCAGCTGTTTGAATGCATTTCCCCACTCCAGCAGGATTCCATGATGAGAACAGTGTTCCCTGTCAGTGTTTGGTAATGTTCTGACAGATTGGTAAAGTGCATCACTCGACTAATTGGAGTACCGTGCCCCCTTCTGGCAGGATGTTCCTCTGTATCTGAAACAGCTGGATCTGTTAACCCCATGTTTTCTCACTGCATAACCCCTCTCAGAAAGAAAACTAAAGTTATTAGTATCAACCTGCTACTTCTTTCTTTATTTTTTCTCAATTTGATTACATTCTATACCTACACGTACAGTCTGAGGTATGTCATCTAAATGTTAACAGTTTTTTACAAGCTTATAATGGTTTCCCACAGCTCTCAATACAGTAACACCCATCATTATGTAGTACTGCTGCTTTGTGTTACTTCTCTAAAGAAGATTTTATTATCCCAAATGTGAAATGAATTAAAATTAAAGTTGGTCTATCAAGTATGCTATTTGGTGGTGGGATATATAAAATGTTCTATGTGTAAAAAGCATGTTTAAGAGTAAGAAAGGACCATTTTTTTTAAAGTTGAAGCTTAAAACCCCAAAGACTGCAGCATGAAAAACTCTTCTCGGTGATGTCTTTGAAATGAGCAACTCTACAAAAGCAGATTTAAAATATGAAACCTTTAATAGATAACAATGTATTGTATGGAAAAGAGAAAAGGAAATGCTTTAAAACATGTGCGCACTTCTTCTGGCCCTGGTTTTTCCTGGGTCACGTGAAAACCACTGGCTGTCCAAATTTTATTAGCACGGAATGATTTTATTTTCAAAAAAAGGCCAAACCCAATTTTTTTGTTTTTCCCCCTCTTTTCCTTCAAAGCAGTAACTTTCTTTGCGAGGCCACAGAGGACCTATACTGTCTCAGATCCTCCTCACTCTGGCCATTCATCATGTGGAAATTGAATTGTTCTCCATGCCAAGATGCTGCACCGTACAATCAGCCATTAGTTTTCAGCCCAACAGCTGGATGCTGCTGTGGCAAATTGCGGCGGACTGCCCCGGAATGGGTCCGTGATTGATCACCTCCGGCCAACCTGCTGGCGAGGAGGCCGGTCGGCCTCTTACGCCGCTAATATTTCAGCACTTTGAGAATCATGTCCGCAAAAGGGTATTAAGGGCGCCACGAGTCAATGTTTTCTTATGGAATGTCTTCCCACAATATAGTGCACAGTTAGTTTTTTTTTTTTTCAGGGGGCTTTAACAGCTGGCACATAAAATAAAAAAAGATTGTGTGTTTTTTTTTTTAAAGCTAGCACAGCAGCAAACAACTAAATCCACTGTTTGATATAGAGTTGGATGTATGTTTCCACCAACTTTCCCACTGCTTACATGGTCATTTTTCCCCTCAAGCCCTTTCTTTTTTCTTAGTCCATAGGCTGGATGCATGCTACCCCATTTCAGACGTTTAGGTTTCTTGATCTTTTGGTCTCTTAATCATGTTTAGGTCTGATGGACACTTATGGACTCACAAAACTAACTACTAATTACTTAATTTTGGTAAAAGATGATGGACACCAAGATCTCCATTGCATTAACACAACTGTGGCATATATAAAATGTGTGAACTTTTTTTTGCCAAACTGAGCCATAAAAGCTTTTTTATGAGCCATAAAAGCATTTTACTGCCAGCTGAATGACGTCTGACTACGTATGCGACAGATAAACCTCGATTTGATTTTAGGATCTTTGTACATATTGTGTCTAACTTGGAAAAACTTGTACATTCCTTGTATACACACCTGTATGTACAATTTATCTGTTTTTAAAAGTTTTTATCATGATTTGAGGGTTCTAAAAATGTTTGTTAGCTTTGTTTACATGCAAAACAGATGGATAATAGTTGTGACTGATCTTACTGTCTTGATTTGACATTACTAACAGATACAAATTTAATAGATCGCTGATCATTAGATTTAAATGATATTTTTAACAATAAAATATATGTTTTGTATGCATTTTCAAATACTGTTTGACTTAAAGAAAATAGAAAAATAGTAAAGAACGTTAATATTTCTTGTTTAAGAAGGCACACTTCATTTATTTACTTGCGACAGAAAACGAATCTAGTTGTTGGAACGTTATGGTTCATGCATAACAAGGGGCATTTTGGCTCCAAATCATAATTAGTTGAGGTAAAACATTAAGAGCTTGCTGCATATGAAAGAGTCCAAATTAAAGCCTGTAATGATGCAGATGGTCACTGAGACAAAGGGAAAAGCAACAGGTGTTGTGGCACTATGGTCAAGTATGCTTGGAGCCGTTTGCAGACAAATATTACCCGTCACTCTTGTTAGCCTTTGTAGGGGAAAAATACAAATCATCATACATGCAACTGTTTACATATGATGAAGATGAAGATTAGGACTGGATTCAAAGATCCAGCCTTTTAAATAGTGATGCAAATTTCTGTACAGGCAAAGCTGACTTCTTAAATCGTACGATTCACATGCAGTTGTGCTGGGTTTCTCTCACTTCAAAAAGTTTAATTTCTCCTTTTTAATACATTTCTATTCCTTACTTCCTCAGATGGACTATGTCTATTAAATTGAAAAATCCACAAAAGTGTGACGTCACGAACAGGATCCCACAACTGGTTTCTCCGGACCTGAACCTTGCAATGTCTCGGAATCAAACATGAGGGTGTGGAAGTAATCTAAAGTGGTAAGGAAGGAAAAGGAGAGTTGATTTAAATCATTTTAATCAAACAAAAACAATGCAATTGGAAATAGTGGTGATACTTAAGGGAAAGTATCAGATTGTACCTTATTTAAAGTACCAGGACGCACAAAACTCCAGGTGGAATGTGGAAGTAGTTCAGGGGAAGTACTTGGACACTATATAACTATGCACAACATCTATGATAATCTGTGTTTTTATCCTACAATTAAATTCCACAACACCTTTTTTATGCATATTGACGTTCTTCTTGAGAATCCGACTGTTCCATGCTCTGCAAAAACATCAAAGCTCTGACCAGTTTTATCAGCCCCTTTAAAGAGACCGTCATGGTAAAGGTAAAACACAGAAAATGCGATTTTCTAGGTTTTTACGTATCAATAACGAGAAGAAAAAAGAATGATCCTTCTTGCATCTTCAAATTAGAGTCGTCACAATTTCTGGTTCAATAAGATCTTAAATCACAAGCAGCATCCATTTGCTGCTAAATGAACTGATCATTGGGAAATGTGAGCTGTGGAACTATTCTGGTGCGTGGTGACACAACGCCGAGAGGGAAGACGTCAGCAATTATCTAAGAGAAGCTGTTGCTGCTTATCAACGGGGGAGGGGCAGAGAGACCTTTTCCAAACAATAAAAAGAGAAAGATTATTATTCACAAGCAGACTACATTCAAGACAGTAGTGGAGTAGTGGACGTCCCCCAAGGCCGAAAAGCTCAGACACTGCATGCCTCAGTTAGCATGTTAAATTTGAAAGTTCATGACAGATAAACTGGACCAGTATTGTTTTTTTGGGGGAAATGGTGCAGGGGAAAGTTTTTTCTATTTATAGATAAATATTCCAGCTAGAAAACAGAGCAGTCGAAGGCTGATATTTTGGGTTGTTATGATGCCATAGGACCTGGAACCTTGCAGGGAATGAGGTTAAATTTAGGCTGAAATCAGGTCAGGCAACAGCACAAAGATGCCAAACCGCTGCAAAAGGACAGAACAGTGCAGTGTGCTGTGGTGGGATAAAAGGTTAGAAAAACACGTAATAACAACAAAACAAAGGTTACAATCATTTTACATGCTTTTGAACAACAAAAAGTTAATCTGAATATTCATTTTTGCTCATTTCGTAAGGACACAGTGTTAAACCACATGCTTTTTTTGTAGGTTTGATTTAGTTTATATGAAAAACATGGCAAGGATATGGTAAAGATCTTTATCAATATTGTGTGAAAATAGGTTGAGCTTTATCGCTCACACAACTTTATATCAACAGATACAGTGATGAGACAAAAGATGAAAATATCTTGGGTTTGCACAAAAATAATAAAAAAGTGGGCATGAAAAAAAGAAAACAGGCACGCTTTCACACATAAGGAGATCAACAAACTCCTGTGATGTCAACTGAATGCACACATCAATAGCAACTTTCCAGTTTGTAATGATAAATAACGTAATTTAGAGTAAAATGTAATCCATTTCAGAGGTTAAAGATGAGTGACACATTTTTTTATGAGCGTGCATTTACTGCTTGGAGAAAAAATTAAACAGTTATTATTGTCCTGTTTCATTAATGACCATCCTGTTGTGGACTTTTCCTTTTTTTCCTTTTTTTTGTTGCTTTCATTATTTAAATTATTTTTATAATTAATCATTTCCAAGGTGGAGATTGTACCATTTGCAATTATGCTTAAAAAAACTAAAAACAACAACATTTTAAACAATTTTTTAAAAGTTAGGAAATCATTTATTTTCTACCACTTACTTGTTTTAAGTGTAGAAAAACTGACACATTGTGCACGTTTAAGATATTTGGCTGTTTCCTGTGAACTCAACTAAACTCTACAATACCGCGTGGCACTTCGAGACAAAAAAAACCCAGTTCGGATAGAGGAGGGGCTTTAGGGTCAGATTTCCACAGAAGTGCATCCCGTGATTCGCTGACGAACGTCCCAGTTTTGCTCATCCTGCGCGCTGTTGCTGATCTACAAGCAAACTCGACGCGCATGCTCAGTGACGATAACCCATCCGTAATACTTAGAGATCGACGCGCGAGCTACCAACAAGTCCCACCAATTCCTACCCACTATCTCAGCATCCTTCCCAGCGGTGAGGAGGGAGGGGGGGATAAAGAAAAGCGGAGAGGCTAGACACGCAAAAGTTTCCCCCCTGTGTCACAAAAAACAGGAGTCGACATGGGTGAAAAAGAGGTGTTTGTGTGGCCTTAGGAAGCGACCGACGAAACGCGTTGTTCAGACGGTTAAAGGATGATAACATAGTTTTAGGTGGTTGTTTTGTGTGTGTGTGTGAGAGAGGACGTTAACGGTGGAAAAGTTTAAAAGCTGGGTCGGGCTATGGCGCGCGAGGGCGAAGACGCCGGGATGGCCAAAGCCCCCAAACGCAAAAGGCAAAAAAAGAGGAAACCCAAGGAGAACAAAACCAGGACCGTCCACGCGAACGTGCTCCACGACTGCGCCAAAGGAGACGAAAACCCGAACCGACACTACGCCAACAACGAGATAAAGACGACCAAGTACACCGTGCTGTCATTCCTGCCAAAGAACCTCTTCGAACAGTTCCACCGCTTCGCCAACGTCTACTTCGTTTTCATAGCCCTGCTGAATTTCGTCCCGGTGGTCAACACTTTCCAACCCGAGCTGGCTCTGACCCCGGTCATTTTCATCCTGTCCGTCACCGCCATCAAAGACCTGTGGGAGGACTACCGGAGGCACAGGTCGGATAAAGAAATCAATCACATGGACTGTCTGGTGTACAGCAGGTAAGCCTGAGGGGTCAAGCCGGAAGTGTCCAGCTGAACCTTGTTTTTCCCTTTTGAAATTGCACAAGCTGGTATTCATCCTGGCATACTTTCTCCCATCAGCTGATATGGAAGGCTAAGAGGAAAAAAAGAGACATTTGCTCCACTTTCCCTGCCACATCATGCAAACTTGCATTCACTTGTAAAGCCAAAAGTCACCATTTTCTAGTCTGATAATCAGGATTTGTTGCTCCATAAGGAGAAGGGATATTTAAGGCCTTAGAGTTTAAAGTTCCCCTGCACACGAGGAGTAAAAAAGGAGAAAAATCTACCCCACCTGTGCTTCAGATGGATGTGAAAAGTTGTGTTCTTTTCTTTTTCCCACCTTCTACATGTCCAGATTTAGTTGTTTTTTGTTTTGCGGTTTCAGATACAGTGAATGGCGAACAAGCAACTAACCTGTTGACCTGTTTTTTTTTCTGGCCATTGCCCTGAGAATGCGCGCTCGGAGTTTAGTTTTGGCTAATGAAAAGCAGCACTGTCGGTGCACGCACAGAGCATAATTCACGGGCCGTCAAAAGGCCCAGTGTTCGCAGGCTCCGCAGGTTTTCTACCAGGCTGTTGTGTCAAAAGTTGTGCATAATTCAATTTTTCTTTTTGGCCGCGCCAGGTCTGCGGTTCTGACCCTGGCCTGGCCGGCCTCTGACACCTGGACAGTATCTGGATCCGGTACATCATCACAACACAGTAGAGTTTTTTTGCTTAAGAGATAACGTCAAACGATGTAATCTTAAATTTTCTGCATTGGAAGAGGGTTTCTCTTTCACTGCTATATGGGGAACTAACTGATTTGCCAGATTGACAGTTATTGCTTATTCCTTTTTCCATGTTTATTTTTTTAAACAAACAACACAACAAGGTACATCCGAGCTCTAAACAACCGCCTGCAAAGCTGTGCTGAGTACACATCAGCATCATCTATTGCTGAGACTTCTGCAAACAGGAGAGTCTGTGCCCCTGTAGAGCTCTCTGTGTTTGTTAGCTGGGGGAAAAAAACATTTAAAGAACAAACTACAGTTGTCTTTGTCAACCCGGGCACTCTTCAGACTCCCTTAATTAGCAGGCTAACTCTAAAAAGTGGCCGTCTGGCAGAGCATTATTTGATGCTTCTGAATTTAAATGGAGAGGTTTGTACATTTAAACCTTTTTTTTTTTTTTTTTTTACAGTAGATCCCAGAACTTTAGTTATTAAATTAAATATGTCCGTGGAGGGTGAAACCTGCTCTCTCTTGGTAATCAATGCAAGAAGCTGCTTTAGTTTAAGTTCATGCTTATGGACTGCTCTATCAGTTTTCCTTATTTGTGCTCTATTAGTCCATTGTCGGCAGTGTAAACAACTGGCTATGATCAGACATTTTAAAATGCTTAACTTCTTAACTAATTTGCAAAGCGAAGTTGTGATAAGGATTACAGTTACAAGTGAAAAAGACAGCAGTTTTATCAGAACTGCCTCAGCCCATCGCACCATGACTATTGAGATGATGGTTAAGTCAACATTGACATAATGCCAGTTACAGTCCTGCCTCCATATAGATTAGGTAACTGTCAACATTGGTATTTTTATCTGTTGGTCTTAAAATTGTCTTAAAATCATACAGTTGCATTGTTTCAGCCAATTGAAATCCTAAACATAGTATTTGTCAGAATTATATGTTAAGAATAAGCTCATTTTTTGTACTTCTTACCCATTGATCGTTGGTTTTCCTACAATCCAATTGTGTGTGGATCATTTACAGTTTATAAGACAATTTATAGGCTGATCTCAACAAAATCTTTGGAAAACTGATAGAAATCAGAAATCAAAGTGCGCCGGCTTCCTCCTACCATCCAAAAATTACATGTTAATACAACCGGACACTCCAAATTGCCCTGAGGAGTGAAGATGTGTGTCTTTGTGGCCCTGCGGTGGACAGGGTGTCCGCTGGGATAGGCCCCAGCCCCCTGCCACCCCCTTGGGAATAAGCAGTATAGAAACTGGATGGACGGATGGATAGATAAAATCTGTTTAAGTTAGAAGTGTCAACAGTTGTGCTGATCCCAGACATAAACAGTCTTTGTGGCCGGTTCTGTTGACACTGTTTGTGCAGCGTTACAGCTACAGAAGATTTTGGAAGAGTACATTTAATGGAGTGTGAAGTGGGCTCATTAGATTCACCCAGGAAATGTAAATGCCCTCTTTGTAATTGTGAAGACTTTTGTTTGAGTGAAAGCCATTTTCATTCGCAGATTTAAAAAATTGATAAGATGAAGAAAAAAAGAAGTTCTCGCATTAATGGGAACAAAAGGTTGAGTTATAAATCTAAAGCGTTAATGTAAGATCTGCTTTCTGAGAGTTTAAGCTGAATAGGAACCTTTTGTTTAGCCACAATTAGGACAAATAATTTAAAACTAAGAATTACTTTTGATGTATTTATATATTAAAAAATTAAATATAAATGTCAGATTTGTTGAATGCAGTAGATTCTAGAGTAGCTGATACAATTCTGACTTTAACAGCTCACTTTTTCACTTTTTTATTCTTCATCATTGCCCTTTTCCACTGGTTCCTATTCAGCACCACACAGCTGTACTCCACTCAATTCCTTTTTTTTTCCTCCATAAAGAAGTACCTGGTATCCATGTTATTCTTCGCACCTACTTAGTTCAAAGCGAGTCGAGTCAAGCTGAAAACGAGTCCTCCATGCTTATTGGCCGAGGTGTGATGTCACTGGGTGATTCACGAGAGACTCCTTCAGAATAACCCCAACAATTTGAAAAAAGAAAAAAAGTGTCAACGGCAACTGTTCGATTTACGTATGGTATCGGAACTTTTGGTAAATATTGACTGGATGTCAACGAGTTAAAGGTTAGCTACTCACAGTTGGATTTGGGAGAATGAATAGCCAAAAAAGATAGATGACAAGGAGACAAAGGTGAAAAACATTCATCATCTTAACAAGTAGCTTCACTCCTTGACAAAAGAGATTTGTCCACTTTGACTTGTCTATTACAAAGCTGAGCAAAGCTAGAGGACCAGCAACAACACAAATACAACCAAGAGCAACCCACGATTCGGACTATTCCACATATTTATGAGACTACCCAAACTGGCAGCCAAATTCTTTGATATCTAAAAAAAATGGTCATTTTGGAAGTATCAACAAAGAGCTAAATTAGCCTTCCTTTTAGTTCCTGCTGACCCTGACTTTTCAGTCCATATACACAGAAAGGAATACAGAGAAATTGACTCCCATTTTATTGATATACTGGTTTCTAAGCATAGGGGAAGACATTGGTTCCAGGTAGACGGGGTTCAGAGTTGGCTCCGTTTGTAGTTGTTTACAGCAGCAGCTCCACAGGTCCTGCCTTCCGCTGACCGCTCTCATTGTCACGGCAGAGGGGAGAAACGCTACGTGGAGAAATACTGGAAAGAGGTGCGTGTGGGGGACTTCATCAGGCTGCGGTGCAACGAAATCCTCCCCGCCGACGTCCTGCTGCTGAGCTCCAGCGACCCGGACCGCCTCTGCCACATCGAGACGGCCACGCTGGACGGAGAGACCAACCTCAAGCAGAGGCAGGTCGTCCGCAGCTTTTTTGACCTGGTGAGACCGATGCTCCTTTTCTCAAAAAAAAAAAAAAAACATTTTCGGAGTGAAAGAAAATTTCCCGTATTTGGTTTGTTTGACTTTGGTTTCACAGTTTCTGTCGAAGCTTAGATATACTTTCCTCCAGAAGTGAATTGCAGAAAGTAAACTTTCTGTCATTCATTTATTTATTTTTTTGCTGCTTGATAAAAATAATACTATTTCAAAACATTATGAAATGTTTTTTTAAAGGTGTGTAAAGTCACTGATGACTCAAAACCACCTGGAAAAGAAACAAGAGTGGCTTTTGATTTACACGGGTATCCTCCACCTCTTTTTCTCTGCCTTATTTCACCCACTAATGAGGCAGTGTTACCTCAGAAGTGGGGAAAAAAGTTGTTTTGTTTATTTCTTCTTGCATAGTAACGTTTTGTCATTATTCTTAAAACCAAATAGGTAATCAAGCAAGATTCCCCTGAAATTATTACGTTTAAGGTTTATTTTCTAACAAAGAAAGCTGACTTCAAGTTGGTGTTTGTACTTTTCACTGTCCTGAAATATTAAAATCTCAGATTACTGGGTTTATACTATATTATTGAGCATATTATTACGTATTTTAATAATACGCTCAAGGGGTCAGTACTACTTAGTGATAGCCCCTCAGGAAGAGAGGGGCGTAGAAGAGTTGAATGGGTCGCATATATGCCTTGAAACATTTTTTTCAAAGAAAAAAAAAAGTCACTACTTTGTTTTTGTTAATCTGGCCAAAGTATGTCACCAAAATGTCCTTTTTACATCAGAAAATAATGAGTTTCTGAGGACAGAACGTATTTCTTTTAAATGTAGTCATTTTCTAACCACAGTGATCTAGGACAATATGATCTTTATGGACATAATTCTAACTCACGATAAAACTAAGCAGTTTTTTTTAAATTAGCTGACACTAGCCATTTTTTTCAATTCTATTATCTCTTTTTAAATTATTTTTAAATTTTTTTAAAACATCGACTAAGATAAAATCCCCATATCTGCAGTTGCTGGTTTGATTTGTTTGGATTGTCTGAAAGTGAGTCAAAATCCTATTCCTATCTCACTCCTAAGAGGATATTAGTTCCTGTAAGAGGACATTTGTAGGGTGCAAAAGCCCTAAAATGCGTATTCACACAAAAATACTCACACTTTGGAAGAGTGGTTAATGAAGTGGAAGTGGATCATTGGTGGAGCAGCCCAAAAAATAATAAGCTAATCTTTGATGAATAGAAATGGGTAAAGAAACACTGGTACAGGATAACCTGTCTTCATATAACCCACACAAATGGGTAATATTCTACATCCTAAAGGCACGAGCAGTGGCCGGTGTTATTGAGTGGTGTTTTGTCGTATTTTCCGGCGGCAGGACTGCGAGTTCGACCCGTTGAAGTACAACAGCATCATTGAATGTGAAAAACCCAACAACGACCTCAACAGATTCCGAGGCTACATGTGAGTACCGCTCGCATTAACCCACGGCCCAAATTCCGTTTCACCGTGACCCTTAACAGGACCTGCTCCGCTGCTGTTGGTGTAAACACACCTTAGGGTTTCAGTTTCATGTCATGGTGAAGTGTTGTGATGCATGCTGTCAGTTTTGGGAGTAACTTTGGGCGGAGTTTCACACGTGAGTCTACATCTGCTAATGCAGGCTGACGATCATTTGTGTGTTTATTGTCAATTTATCCAGTCGAGTTGAGATGATCCACATCCTTTCTACTCGCAATGAAGGGCAGGTGTGCCGTGTCACCAATTGAGTACCCTCCACTGATCTGATATGTCGAGACGAGCCTGTGATAAATAAGTGAGATGGATAAGATCGAATATATCGACCCATTAAGGCACAGTACCTGTGATTTTATCCATTGGATAAGGTCTCATTGGGGTGTTATGAAAAAATATTCTCAAGAATAGAATTTCATTTGTAGGAAATCTGTTGGAGTCAAGTATGTTCTTACTGGCAACCAAACTCCAAAAGGCTTTCAGTTTCCATTAAAACGACCAAAAGCCACAAGTGTCTTGTAAAAGCAGAAGTGAGGGATGGATAACTCAAGCGATAAGTGGTAGATTGCTCTAATTGGTAAGTCCATGTCTCTGATCAGGTCATCCCACCCTTTGTCTATTCTGACCTTTTAAGAATTAAAATTATGGCTAAAAAATTAATTTCCATCCTTAGTATTGGGCATTTTATTGCCATTTGCCTCATATATCACAAAGAATGCCTGAACAGCTACAATTTTTACTGTTGAAGTACCAGCTAATAGTATGTACAGACATTATTAGAGATGAATTGTCGAACTTTAAGGCCCTAAATTTATAGATAACGTGCTTGATTGTTTATTCTTTAGACAAAGCAAGGCACATTAATCCAAGTTTTTCATTTGGTTTTTGTTCAGCTTGTTTAGTATTTTCCATACTGAAGCAGTGTCCCTGGTTTTTCTCAAACTCTCTGCAAAGAAACAAAGTGGACCCGTCAGAAAAATCCGTTTCTTTCAGCACATTCTCCTTCATCATTGGGATGCAGCCCATCTGCTGCTGCCAGGTATCATCAGAGCAAACCTCTGAGCCCTCGCTTCCTGCCAGGCCCATCACGGCAGTTTGGGAAGAGTGTTTGTGAGACGGGGGAACCTGGGGCTTCCTCCGAGCTCTCAGAAAAGCCGCCGCTCGCACTCAGAACAATTATGACACGCGCTCCCTCCTCGGAGGGAGACCAGATGCTGCAGGTATTCAGTTGCCAGGCTACAATGGAGCACGGGGCGCTGCGCCTTGGCTCGGCGGCGCTTTATTACATTACGGCCGCTGACACCAAGTCTCATCTCACTCCATTTCCAGGAGAAAAAAGCACTCCGCGTGTCATCGAGAGCTGCGAACTCTGATGAGCTTTGCAGGAATCGCTCCTTGCACGGGGACACTCCTATTAATCTGTAATGGTGGCGATGAGTCAGTCGACTTGCTGACAAAAGGCCAAAGGAGGAGCATTCCTGTTGGTAAACATGCTGACAGTCGGTTGACTCTGAGAGGAGTCGCAACTGAGCTGATTAAGCTCTGCTCCAGAGTAAAAGGTTGCGGGACTGTCTCGCTAACACGATCGCAATCCTTGATTTAATCATAGGAATAAGGCTGACATTATGGGGCCCTGGATTAATTCAGCTTTACATACATCTTCTTTTTTAGCGATTCCTTAGAGGGATTTAAACTTTCCCGGCGGGCCGGCGAAGAGCTCAGTTCCAGTCTTTTTGCGAAGTTTCCTCTCCGAATGAGCCAGGGCAAATCTAAAGTGGGAACTAAGGGTCAGTGGCGAGGCGGTGAATCGCCTGATTGACTCTAAGCCTAAAGGGGTTTCAGTGAAGCAGCAGCCCAGTCGCTTGTTCTGTATCAGTGGGAGTTTGTGCTGAGATAAGGGCCTCTGGTCAGCGGGGACTACGGTGCTTTCGGAGTGTGATTGATGGAGGTGCTCAGCAGAATAAACCGATGTTGTCTTTGGGGCTCTGGTGTATTTAAAAAAATAAATAAAAATCAAATAAAAACGCTACCCGGAACATCTTTTTTTTTTTTCCATCGTCAGCTTTCTGCTTTTGTCCTTACGCGTCTTCCACTCTGACAGAATCCACCGGAGCGGCAGAAGAGACGCACTTTACAAGGAGAACCTGCTGCTGCGCGGCTGCACCATCCGGAACACGGAGGAGGCCGTGGGGATAGTCATTTACGCAGGTCAGCTCCCGCCGCACACCCTCCCCCCCCCCCCCCCACACACACGTCTGACTAACGAGCCACGGATCTCCGCAGGTCACGAGACCAAAGCTATGCTGAATAACAATGGCCCGCGCTACAAGCGCAGTAAGCTGGAGAGACAGATGAATGTAGACGTGTTCTGGTGTGTCATCATCCTGCTGGTTATGTGCTTGTTTGCTGCCGCCGGTATGTAACAGCCCCATGTTGTGGACTCAGCAGCCCCGGCTGCTAAGTGCAATGAAGGCCCCTCTGAAACTAATGAGGGCCCAATTTTTTTTAGAGTCTCTCGCGCTTTTTGTAGGAGTTGACCTTGTGGTGCTGCTGTTCCAGGTCACGGGTTGTGGATGTTTCAGTACGGAGATAAGAGGCCAGTGTTTGACGTTCTTAGTCCAGAGGGGACAGACTTATCACCCATCATGTCAGCCATTTATCTTTTCCTCACCATGATCATCGTCCTACAGGTACAAAACTTAACGAAACAAAAGCGCTGATAAAGATATGAAATGACACTTTGTGTATCAGTAAGTATTTAATGTTCTTTCCCAGTGAACACAGGCAGCGAGTTGGCAGCAGGTTACTCTAACCCCCCTGAGCATGTAACCTCTAATTCTTTATCTAGAGTCTGGAAAAGGACTGAGGGGGTGGGGGTGGGGGGGTATGTGCTACCTCTCTAGAATTAGATAAAAACAGGAAAAGTGACCTATCGATCTGTTTGCTTACAAGCAAAATTATCAGTAAAAAATGTCACCCCGCACTACAGCCAGGTTACGATATCTGCTAGCTTACAAAACGAGAGGGAAATCATCCAGTTTGGGTTCATTGCCCTCTAAACACCAACCTTTTTAAAAATAAAATACATGTATTTAAACTATGAAGCAGAATAAGCTTCTTTTTTTTTAAATTCTCAACAAATTCCCTCCATCTGCGCACCATTATTGGATTGCTTCATTTTTGTTTTATATTTCTCTTTCCTTTTTGACAGATTTACACCATTTAGCCACAAGCTTTATAATTATTGTCTTTTTTTTATCTCATTCAGCTTCTATACAATCTATTTTTGGACAATTTATGCTATAACTCATTGCCAAGTAATCATATATACGGTTGCTTTTAGTGAGCTGTGATTTATAGCTGACCTTAATTTAGCTAATTTGTTTAAGTTCTTTTCCATTTGTTAGTTGTTGTTAGTGGAGCATTTGATAATATTTTATCAAGAAACTTTTTAGAACATTTATCTTGAAGTTGCTTAACAATTTCAGTTGTTTTTTGTTCATCTCAGGACTTCAATTTTTTATGTTTAAATTCTTTTTAGTATTCGAGTTAGCTTGTGTTGTGGCTACTTTTATCTTTCCGCTAGCAGCTACTTCATATCTCTTAATCCTTTTAAACATTAATTCATTCAGCTCAGTATTACAATATCTTTACATACAAACCATTTATCCGGGGATTTTGATCTTTGACACTGTTTTCCAACTTCTTTTCCCTGTTTTCTTCTATTTTATGTTTTAAACTGTTTGTAGCCGTTAGGTGTCTTTTCTTTAACTTCAACGTTTAAACCATTACTTACCCATTCAAGTGATATGCATCACATTCACTTGTCTAAAAACGTTCTCCTCTCTCCTAGGTGTTGATACCCATCTCCCTTTTTGTGTCAATTGAAATTGTCAAGATCTGCCAAGTGTACTTCATCCATCAGGACATGGATCTTTACGACGAAGAGACAGACTCTCACCTCCAGTGCCGAGCACTTAATATCACAGAGGATCTGGGCCAGATGCAATACATCTTCTCTGACAAGACGGGTACACTGACGGATAACAAGATGGTGTTCCGACGCTGCACCGTAGCCGGGGTGGAGTACTCCCATGATGCCAATGGTGAGGAAAGCTTGCAAAAACACGTACATGCACAAAGATTTTTTGCAATTTTTCTATTGCCTGCAGGAACTCTTCACTCACATATTGCATTTCTTAGCGTATTACATGAACCTTAACCATCACAATTGAATGCCCAGATCCAAGACGTACCCTGAGCCGAACCATCACCTTGTTCCAAACCTGATCTTTTATCTCAGCAATGGGGGAAAAAAAACAATTTGCTGTTTTCAGTGCATTTTAATGGTATATTTAATAGTGTGTATGTGTCTCTGTGTGTGTTTTTAACTAGCTAAAAGACTTGCCATGTATCAGGAAATGGATTCTGAGGAGGAAGACTGCATGTCCCACGGTGGCACCCTGCCCCGGCGGGACAGCGTGACCAGCCACCAGAGCGCCCGCGTGGTGCTGCGCTCCCATAGCACCAAGTCCCACCGCCGGACGGGCAGCCGGGCCGAGGCCAAGCGGGCAAGCATCCTGTCCAAGCACACGGCCTTCAGCAGCCCCATGGTCGGTTCCCCCGTCCGACTCCCAGTAACGTCCGCCAACCGCCCAATCCCCCCACTAGATTAAAAAAAAGAGAATCTCTCCTTTCCCGCAGGAGAAGGATATCACCCCTGACCCTCAGCTCCTGGACAAAGTCAATGAATGCAGCAGTCAGATGGACTTCATGCGCTTCCACAGCCAGCCCATGTCTCAGCTGCCCTCCGACCTCTCGGACATCATCGACTTCTTCATCGCTCTCACCGTCTGCAACACGGTGGTGGTGTCCTCCCCCAACCAGCCCAGGCACAAGGTGAGACCTACATATCTCCTCCTCTTCGGCGGGGCGTTGGTGTGCCCCGTGATTGTGCGACAAAGCCAACAGCTGTGTTTTAACAACCAGGTAAAGCGAGCGTTGCGTATAATGACTGTAATGGATGCATTAGCTCCGCGTGCGAAGAAGAGAAGCCCGTATCAACCAAAGATCCGCTACCGTTCCAACTACACCAGTGTGTTTCTTATCTGATGGAACTTTCGTGCTTTAAGCTTCACTTTTTGTTGCGTGTGCAGGAAAAAATGTGCACAGTTTGTTTTCTTTTGTCTGATTATGATTCCAACAAATGAGACACACAGTAAATGTTGCCTTTATTTTAATGTCAGAGCTAACAATGAGGGTTAGAGGGGATATAAACAACACTTCAAAACAGCATCTGAACTATTAGTCTTGGATTTTATCCTTGATTTTTCTTTTCTCCTTTCTTTTTTTTTTTTTTGAAAACCTGGGAGTGGTTTTTCCGAATTTGGGTTTAAAAAAACCTGCAAAAAATAAAGCAAATTGTGCGTTTGCACGTAGCTTTCACTTCTTTGTCGTCCAGGTCTTTGATGTGCTGACCACCGCTGTGTATCCGCGTTTTGTTTTCCCCCCATGTGATCTGGGGTGTGGTTGTCCTGTTCAGAGGTGATATCCTCCCCATGCCGCTTACACCGTGTACCACCATTTGGCTGTCCTGTCCAGCTTCTCGGACGGACAAATCTGTTCAGATTAAGCTGTACATGGTGACATTTATTTTATCTTTGACTTGAGTTTCTCTTTCGAGGTTATCTATGAAAAATGAATAAGAACAAAAATACCAGGCCTTGATAAAGTCACCTTCCAGCTTTTTGTTTTGGTTTTGTTATCCTCATGCCTATGCAATTGTTCACATTTTAAGATTATTTCCTCACGGCCAGCCCGCCACCTCGAGGAATTATCCCTCTCTATTCATGAGAGCTGGGACTGCTGCTGTCCGGAGACCTCACAGTGAGTCACCCCGTCTGCTATTGTGTAGCACCACCCTGAGATGAAGGAGTGGCTGCGGGATTATTGGCTAGAGAGGCATTTTCATCAGTCCTCAAGTTTGCAGCACCAGAGCTGGCCTTTCCGTTGGAAAAAGACGCGAATAATAATACATTTTAACTTCGTGGGAGAATCGGCAGGTTTAAGACACGCTGTCTAAAAGTGATGCACATACTTAATGGCTCTTTTTTGACATCATCATTTCTGCATGTAATTCCTCTCCAACTTTGCTTCCTATTAAGTGACATTTGATATAAAATGGGGGAAAAATGCAATAACTAATACTGCATACGGATAATGATAAGAATTTGAGAGAGATTTGGCCTGGAATTTGCAGTCATCTTCAGTCAGTGATAAGAATGCTCATATTCAAACAAATTACTCTTTTTTGATGCTTGTTTCTTTTAGTCAAATTAATCCTTTTTTTGGTTTAAACTGTTTTAACTGTGACAGATTATCTGTGAGAAAAGATGTATGCTTTCTTCTCTGCACCGGGCAGATAAATGGCAGATATAATTTGGCTGCTTTATGTTTTTTTTGTTTTTGTTTGTTTATTTGCTTTTTCTTTCACCAAGAAATCGGAACTCAAACAATGTCTTTGTACTTACTGCATTGATTATTTACCAGAAATTGTATCGGCAAGTCGAGGCTGGCTTTATCAGACTTGCACCTGCTCAAATTAGGTCAGAGATCTTCCACCTTTACCTTTTTTTACTTTTGATATGCAGTATCCGCAGCTTGTGTGAGGTGGCTGCATTCAGAGTGTCTCTGAATGGGTCTCATCATGTGTCCCTGTTGAGATGGTAGCTTCTGTGTTTACTCCCCGTGTCCAAAGTGGGCCCATGTGACTGAGGGCTCAGCAGCAAACTTGCCTTTTTCTCGGAGTGCTGTTTTTTCCAGAATTAGCCCTATGTTTGCTGTCCTCGCTGTGTTTCATAGTTGGGTCACATGAGTGAAAACTTCTGGCAGTTAACTGTGAGGGAGCATACCAACTGCGTGCGTGTGTGTGTGTGTGTGTGTGTTTCTGTCCTAGAGATGGTGAGTTTGTGCTGGTTTGGAGAGTTTCCTTTAAAGCCTTTGGCAAACTAAAGGCAATTCTTACCACATTAAAGAGACCATATTATGTTCATGTTCTGATCCCAGATTTAAAAGGACCTTTTTTTCGTCATTCTGTTCAAAATTGTATCCTCTTTGTTGTTTTTTGTTGTATTTTCTTTGGTCTGGCATAACCCCCAACTGGAAGGTCCAGTCCATTCTGATAAGTCAGTTACGGCTTTGGGCATCTGTTACTTTTTTTGTTTTGTTTTTGGCATACAAAACAAGTAGCTATGCAGTCGTTATGTAAATGAGGGTTTTTACACCAAACTCTGGGTCCGAGGCCGACTTACTTACAGGTCTACAGGTTAATAGAAAACGGTGTAGACTAGCTCAAAACAGACTAAAAAACCTGAGCCGTTTAGATTTTTAGCCTGATTTATTCAATAGTGAACAATAAATTCTGAGACAGGTGTGGATGGGTGTGTGCTGAGTGTACCTCTCACTGTCCGTTTCATGTTTATTTCACCAATTGTGCATATGAACTCTACGCATTGTTTGAAGCTTAAGTTAGTTTTTTTTTCTTTTTTTTAACATGAGATACTTCATCAGGCGTGTCTAGATTCTGTTTAAAAGGTTGTGCGTTCATCGTTTGTGTTGCCATTTGGTCAGCATTTCAAGGAAGGGTTCATGTGGTGGGTGTATACATGTTTAAGTGGCCATTATTTACAGTGAAAAGAAGACTGGAAGGTGGTCAGCAAGAGGGGAATGACAGGCCTCGGGCCTACCGGGGTGAGGTCTTGCAGCTATATTCAACCTGTCGAGCAACCCAGGACCCCCCACCAACTGCTGCTTACACCAGTTTGTTGGCAAATTGAGATAGATGCTGTAACTGGTTCTTTTTGTGAAAACAATCTATTGCCCTGTGCTGTTGTCATGTAAAGAAGCTCAAAATACACCAGAGAGGAGGGTGTGTTTGAAGAGTTGTTTACAGGGGCCCTCATCATTTTCCTGAACCAAGACTGGAACTAAAAGTGCAAATAATGGTGCAATTAAGTTGAAGAAGAGAAGCCTGAAATGAAAAAAATAGCTGCCGTGGTCAGTTAAGAGGGGTCAGTAACAATTTCCCATGACTGGTCTTTTTTTAGTAGGTGGCCCATGGATCCCAGGAGCAACTCCCAAGTAGACAGGCCGGATTTGTTCCAATCAGAAAGTACCTTTGCATTTTTATATGATATCCGTACAGATTTTCAGGCACGAAATGCAACAATGCCTAAAAGATTATGCAGAGGAAAAAACAGCCAGATAACACCCTACGTTTGGAGAATCCTCCCGTTGGGACCACAGCACAAATGTTTGAAATGTCTGTGCTGAAACAAATTTCAGAATCTTTTTTTTGTTTTTGTTTTTTCATGGGGAAAAATTTCTACCTGAGATTATTTTGTATTCCAGGTCTTTAGTTTTGTTTTTGTGCACACACTGATGTGCATTTGGCATGCTACCAGGTTTCTTTTTCTTAATTTTGTTTTATTTTTACACTTATTTTGCCCTCGTTACCTGATCTAAAAGGCAGAAAGTGATTAAAAACTTAACGAAAATAAAAACGGGTTAATCTGTATTTGTTTTGATTAGTCATGTCTGCCACTATTGACTGTTTTCGCAGGCAGAGGACAATCTATGGCCTGTTAAGAGTTCTTGATTTTAATATTTGCTCTAGCTGAATATTAAATTAAAAGTCACCCTGACTTTTAACATGCCTAAAATCAGATTTGGAGTGCACTGAAAAACCTTGGAGCGAAAAGCTGATTGAGATTTTTTGTACTTTGATCGAATGTGATGGCATTTTGTGCCAGAAATATTCTCCTATAAATGTGATTTTTAATTGATATTGTTAACCCATTTTTTATTATTATTTTCTCTACTCCAGGTCCGGATGAGGTTCGAGCTGAAGTCTCCAGTCAAGACCATTGAAGACTTCATCAAACGCTTCACCCCCAGCCGCCTGACCTCCGGCTCCAACAGCAGCAGCTCCTCCAGCCTGAACCGCTCCTCCAACAAAGGGTGCTCCAGCCTGCTCTCCTCGCCTTCGGCGGAGAGCACGCTCACTAAACTGAACGAGGAGACGCCCCCCGGCGGCCTGGAGCCCGGCTTCAGCGCCGCCCCCCCCTGCTACGACGGCCGGCCGTCCTGGAGCCCCGAGGACGGCGAGCTGCGCTACGAGGCGGAGTCCCCCGACGAGGCCGCCCTGGTCTACGCCGCCAGGGCTTACAAGTGCTCCCTCGTCGGGCGCCTCCCCGACCATGTGACCGTGGAGCTGCCTCACCTGGGGAGGCTGAGTTTCGAGCTGCTGCACACCCTGGGCTTCGACTCCACCAGGAAACGCATGTCCGTGGTGGTGAGACACCCCCTGACCGATCAGATCACCGTCTACACTAAAGGAGCGGACTCTGTCATCATGGAGCTGATCAAGCCCCTCGACACGGGTAGGAAGATGCTTATTTATGGAACCACATTCTTTCTTTTTTTTTCCCTTTTTTGGTAGCAAACGGTTTTAATGTAAATATCAATTCAAATTAGGCTGACTAAAAAAAAAAGACATGTTTTAAGGATCGGATCGGTCGCCGATATTTGCAAAAAATCCATGTTTTTTTTAAGCCCGATCCCACACGAGCATTAGCATCTCCTAACCCACAGGTCTGTGACCTAACCATTAAGTTGTTATAAGAGTAAATCCCTGTTCAACATGAGTCTGACAACTAAGTAAGTAGGCTAAATAACTTTAAACTTTAATACATGCTCTGATAGGCCGGTATCGGATCGGAAGTGCAAATACAATATAGGTATCGGGTCGGAAGTGAAAAAAGCTGAATCGGAACATCCCTATTTTAAGGTCTAGTCGCCTCAGTTTTGGCATGAGCTGCCCGCACAGGGAGGTGGTCTTTGTGTTTTTCTGATCCCATCCTCATACCTCAACCTTCGTCCTTTCCAGTCGTGTAAAAGCACAAGTTAATGTTTTGCAAGGCCTTTTTTTTTTTTTTTTTAAAAAAACTGTGCTCTACTGCTTGCCTCGACATATTTCCGAAAACAAACTTCTTTTCTTTTTTCTCCTGTCCTCCTCTCCGTGTCCTTGTCCCATGACCAACGTGCTATTTTGTTGTCGTAATGGCAAAGGTGGAAAAGGGTGTTAGTATTCCAGGCACACCGAGGCTCACACAGACTCTTTTCACAGACGTTTTGTGCACAGCAAACAGATGTCTGTCCACAGGTTTCATCCCATTTAAAAAAAAAACTAATTGACAAAACACAAACTTTGTACAGCAGCAGCAATTCTGATATTATTTCATCGTGGCCAGCCACAATTTTTCCAGAAGCCATCAGAAGCCTGTATGTGTATCTCTAAAAGCTCCATAAATCAGTCCACATCACGATATTTTGTGTCTTACTCCTTTTGTCGGTTAAAGCATGCTGTTAAGTCGCATGGGGTAATTAATTTCTTTCACATGCTTGGTTAGAGGGCCCCTCGTGTTCATTAGAAGCAGGAAGTTCATCACAACAAGGCGGCTCTGGCTCATAGAAATGTGCGTCTCAGGATGAATTATCCTCCCACGCTGAGCCGAGACTTGTTAGCAGCAACACATCAATGGAGATGAGCGCTCCCATCATGTTTTGCTGTTATATTTTTTTTTGCTAATGCTCCCACCTGTTCCTTATGGGAACGATGAATAGCAAATTAATGTATGTTGAATAAATCTTTCATTCCAAGGAAGGAACAACCATTTTTGGATTAAGATTGCATAAAAAATTTTAATGTCCTCCACACAAACTTTTCTCCTTCTAGCGATCCCAAAGGAACACTAGAAGACATAGGTTCCATTGAGAAGCTCTCACACTCCTCTCCACCCCCCTTCCCTACACCTCATGTCTCGGTTCAACACTTTTAATGGCCGATGGGCTGTGTCTTTTCCGAGGCAAGTCGCTACTTTGCGCTACCATTGGGTAAAAACAGCCAATTAGAGTGCAGCCTGAGTCGGGGCTTCTCATAAGACGGACCATAATGGCTCCTTTGAGGCCGTGCGGGATTTGTTCAGTGTCAGTCTAATAACAGTGCATAGGGAGGTGCTGGAGGTAGACCGTAGACCCACGAGACTTAGAAGTTAGAGCTCAGCTCACGACGCAAGTGCAGTCTCGCTTAAACTGCAGCGTGTTTAACAAAAATTTCAATTTTGAAAGAAAACATGTATTCCACTTGTCTTTAAAAATATATATATATACACAGTGCATGTTTAAAATAGCTCTCAGCAGTGTTCTGGGCTATTTAAATACAAAATAATGGCTCTGTTTGAAAATGAAAAGCAACGTGTACTGTAAGCTTAGGGCCCAATTGTGACCGGCTGCTGACTCGAAGAACAAAACAATATTTGTTTTAGGGATGTTTATCTATTGTAGACCTGGAGGGGACTGATGAAGAAGAGGGTGAACATTTGGACCTCAAGGCAAGAGCCTTTTGTTTAGAGTACGGCGAGGAATTTCCTGAGATGATTCACACCAACAATAAGACCGCAGCAACAAAAAGAAAGAACAGTGGCAGTAGTGACAACACAATAGTGGCCTCAAATTAAAAACACAAAGAATAATCTGCTGTGGGGCCGGCCCGAGATGAGATGTGCTGCTATCCTCTTCCAAAAACAAACATGTGTTTTGTAGTTGTACATCATGGTGTGAAAGAGATGTTTTGTGTCATAAAAAGAGCCGGACAAAGTTTGGGGCTCTATCAATTTGTAGAAGTTAAAACTCAATAGGAAGCTTTTAGAAACACAGGACCCAAGGACTATTATAGTTGAATTTCTCATCTTCAAGACAATAAAAAGGAGAAGAAAACGCACACACACCTCCCCCATGTGACTGTGAGGCTGTTAAATCAGCAGACCTTCTTTATTTCTGATGAGAGATAGTCTAATTAAAGTCTCGCCATAAGATTACTACACATTCTGACCTTGTTTATGTTTTATCTCAAAGAAGAAATGCTTTTTTTGTGTTCTTGAAATCTTCTATTGCAATCCGGTTTGGATCTCATTCGTTTCCCTCAGCTAAAAAAAAAAAATTAAATAAATAAATGAGAATTTTGCGTGGTGAGGTATGTGTGTGTGCAGCCCGCCAAGACGCGGTGCCATTAGTGAGATTACATGGCTGACAATCAGAGCGTTGGCTGGTGCATCTGTGTCAGGAGACCCATAAAGCCAATCTGTTTGTGTGCCGTCCCCTGCCAGGGCCAGATACTGAACACGCTGCCCTTCATGTCTCAAACATGTCTCGTTCAGTTGTGTTAAACTAATTTAGCCACATTAACTAAAAACCCAAAATATCTAAATTCTGTTTTTAGGATAAGAAAGTCTTTTTTTTTTTTTGTCACCTAACAGTTTGGTGCGGGCGCAGCCTGGTGAGTAACATGCAGACATTGTGAAATATATTGAGGCGCGGCATACATGGTTAATTTAGGTGTGAGGACAGATGGCTTCCATGTGACTGTTGGAAGATTTCTTTTGGCAATTTGGTCCCGAAATGCTTCGCGATTATGCAAATCCCCCCCCCCTAAAACACCAATGTTTCTTCTTCATCCCTCAATCCTTTTATTGTGCGTTTTGCATGTGTGTCTTTATAGGCAACTCCAAGGGGAGACGCCAGAAAAAGATCGTCTGCCGGACCCAGAACTACCTGAACCTGTACGCCGCAGATGGCCTCCGCACGCTGTGCATTGCAAAGAAGGTAAAACCTCTGAAGTGGATTAAACTGCCTCAGAACCTCATGGAAAAAGAGAGCGAGAGAGAGTGAGTGCGTGTGCGTCTGTGGCTTTTGGGCAGGTTGTGTTTGTGGCCCGTTACAGACGGAATCGCATGGACCGGCCCATCCAAAAGCGCCATTCTTCGTGACTCAGCGGCAATCTGTGCCGCCGTCTCCGGGCTGTTAATTTATGTCCTCGCGTTCGCGGGCTCGTTACGCTCCCCCGCACTGCGCATGGAGCTTTACCGCGCACGCAAAGCCACGAAAAACCCAGCCCAGGCCCGGCGGCCCGTAGCCCTCTGCCCCGGGCCGCCCAAACAAACAGACGCCGCTTTAAACGCGCCCCAAAACTCTTGTGTTTGTGTGTCAGGTTATGAGCAAAGAGGAGTACGCCTGCTGGCTTCAGCGTCACCTGGAGGCCGAGACGGCCATCCAGGGGAGAGAGGAGCTGCTCTTTCAGTCTGCCCTTAGGCTGGAGACCAACCTACACCTGTTAGGTAACCCACAGATTTGATTGCCAGTCTCTCCCGTCCACACACACACGACAGAGTGTGTCACGCTCGTGTGCTGCCACCTACAGGGGCCACCGGCATCGAGGACCGGCTGCAAGACGGGGTCCCGGAAACCATCGCCTCCCTGCGGAGAGCCGGCCTGCAGATCTGGGTGCTCACGGGCGACAAGCAGGAAACCGCCGTCAACATCGCGTACGCCTGCAAGCTGCTGGAGCCCGACGAGGAGATCCTGACGCTGAACGCCGATTCTCACGTGAGCCGCCGCCCCCCCCCGCTCGCTAAAAATTTTGAAGAAAAAAAAAAAAAAGTTCTTCACGCTGCGAGTTCTTCTGGCTCAGCGTTGGCCGCCCCAAGCCCCAGCTTGTTGCCTGGCAACATCAGCGGCACCAGCAGCCAGTCGCAGCTCAGTGCCGGAATACAACCTGGCACACCACGGTGACATAAATTCACAAGTTATTGTTTTACACCATGTAGCGTTTCCTTCCTTTCCTACATTTTACGGAGGCACAAGCGGCGTTCAGTAGACGTCTTGAGCTGTGTTCTCTTCAAACTTTGAAGAAAAAGTGGGCGGACATTAATTGAAGGATTTGCCAAAGTGAATAGAAATTGAAAAATCTGATTTTAAGCCCAGTTTTTGTGTCTTTTTGCCTTTTTATCCCCGTTTCCCTTTGTGAACAAACACCCTTCCTTCAGAGGTTGTTTCTGGTGACTCCTGAGTGAATTTGAGATCAGATTCAGTTCAATTCAATTTTATTCATATAGCCCCAGATCACAACAAATGTCATTTCTTGACAATTAATACATACAGACCAATTCAAGCCAATTAGTTAGTTGATGCAGACAAATTCCAATTAGTTGAAGTTAATTTAATTTCAGAGGTGTCTAATTCATACAGAGCAATTTAAAAAAAAAGACTTCCTGGCTAAGAAAACCGCAGATTGTACCGAATCTTCTCTTTGATCCAACCAAAGACACACAATGAAGCATCATCAACAAACGGAATGACTTTGTCTTGATAACAAAATAATGAAAGACTTGCAATAAATGCCTAACTGAGCAACTTGGAACTGATCTGACAATCTCATTCCAAAACATCTGTTTATCTAACATCTTCAAATGTGCACCTCTGATTTCTACGCTGAAAGCAGCAGGTTCAGATGGTCACTTTTTAGTTTTGTTTGTTTTAATTCGGTGTACTTGTAACAGCTGGCTTCCAGATGTGGACCAGGGCAGACGCTTTTTATTTGATCTCACTCTGTTTTGATTCTGACCTCCCACTCGTGTCGGCACCTCTGTCTGCACCAGGAGGCCTGCGCGCTGCTGCTGGAGGAGAGTTTACACTACATCCAGGCCAAGTTCTTCTGCAGCTCCGGGGACCAGAGCGCCACCGCCGACTTTCCGCCGTTTGAGATTTACCCGCCGGCGTCCCCGTCCTCGTCATCCTCCCACGCCGCTCACTTCCTGGTGCACCGGCTGGGCTTGGTCATCGACGGCCGGACGCTGGCCTACGCCCTGGACAAGAGCCTGGAGGACAAGTTCCTGGCCGTCGCTCGCAGCTGCCGGTCGGTGCTGTGCTGCCGCTCCACGCCGCTCCAGAAGAGCATGGTGGTCAAGCTGGTCAGGAACAAGCTGAGAGTCATGACCCTGGCCATAGGTACGTACCAGCACAAGGACGCACGTTTGAATTTTTAGTTGTTTTTTTTTCACCCTTTGCACTCATCTGACTTAGAGCAACCACACACACCAACACACTCTCCCCATTAATTTAGAATCATCACCTAACCACATGGGGAGAACATACCACTAAACCCAGAAGGTGCCCCAGTCCCCTGGATCTTTGAAGTGTAAACCCTCCTGCCACATTGCAGCCCTCCTTTTTTCCCTATCAGCTATAATCTGCTCTGTGGAAGTTGCCATCTTACCTGCAATAATGTTTCCTGTTTTTTTTCCTTAGCCTGAAAAACTCTAATCATTTGTGTTTGTATGTAAATATAACTTTAAATGGGGCCCAAACATTGCGGAATCGCCACTAAAGACATTTATCAGACTGGAATCTGTAACATGTAATTCAAAGCGAGTAGCATGTCTCATGTGGAACTATTGAATGCATCGGAGATATGACGATTGTCTGAGCTTCACACACTTTGTCAAAAAGTTGCTATTTTCATTTGCCTGGAAGCGGATTCTACGGTTGTATTTTGCCAGAACTGAGCAGCACCATATTTGTCAAACTCACCGTAGCACAAATGGAGGGAAGCTTCGGTGGGCTCCTTCCTGCTATGACGTTAGGTTGAACTCTCCTGAAAATGAACATTAGCAAGGGAAGCACTATTCATCACAGGCACGCTCCACAGCTCCACTGACCGCTCGCATCCAGCCGCATTATCCTTTGTAATATTACATCGCGGGCCAATGAAGCCGGGCTATAACAGAGGCGACGCGGGGATGCCCATGAGTTATATTTGTCGGCGCTGTTTTCCATTTATTTGCTCCTGCTGCATGCAGGGGACTTCCTTTTTGTGCAAGCAAAGCATTTCTTTCGTCGTTGTCATTCCTGTTCACAGCAGCCTGGACGGAACAATGCCACTCCTCACATCTCTCATTTTACCCCTCTATTGGGGAAAAAAGGGGGATTAAATTTCGACCCAACAGTTGTAGCCCATCTTCTGGAACGT